ATGTTTTGCATCTACTGGACAACATGGAGCACTTCTTAAACCTGGAGGTACTTCGGCATAAAGTCTGTTTTTAGCTGCTATCTGTGCTAAGGTGGAATTTTTTATGTTTCGTAAAAATCGTTTAGAGTACCCACGCTCTTTCAGTTTTGAGAAAACAATCGTACAGGCTTGGTTGAAATCAGAAGATCTTGTACAAATTCGATGAAATCGTAAAACTTGTGACTTAATTATACCAGAAAGGGTATGTTTTGGGTGAAAGGAGCTCTTGTGCAAGAGTTGATGAGTATCAGTTTCTTTGAAATACACTTTAATATCCAGTTTCTGCTATGGAATCTCCCTTAAAGACTGTGGTATCGAGAAAGTCTATGCTTTTGTCACTCACGTTTGCTGTTAGTTTGATAGAAGGATGGTGGTTGTTGAGAATTTCACAGATTTCCCAAAACTGTTCGATAGAATAAGTCCAAACCATAAAAATGTCATCCAAAAAGCGTTCGTAAAAAAGTGGGTCAAATGGACAGAGGGGCAACACCTCACGTTCCCACTCTGCCATGAAAAGGTTTGCGTACGAAGGGGCTAATCGTTTGCCCATTGCTGTCCCTGAAGTTTGTAAATATGTTTTACCATTAAATGTGAAATCGTTTCGACTAAGACAAATCTCTAAAAGCTGTAGAATTGCATCGTCGGGTCTGTTTGGATCTGGGTTTCTATTAAACTGCCGTTAAACCAGTTGTGTTATCAATATTGGTATACATAGAAAAAACGTCGATAGAAATTAAAATAGCATTAGAGGGAACTCGAAGATTTTTTATTTTATTGACAAAATCGGTTGTGTCTTTAAGGTAGGCGCGATGTTGACATGCTAGAGGTAGTAAGAAATGATCAATGTATTCTGACACTGCATATGACTCACTACCACAGTCAGATATAATCGGGCGGCCTTTAGGGATTTTATTCGAGATAAACCACTCCTTGGTTGGAATCTTATGGATTTTAGGCGAAGTGTACAAATGTCTCTCGCGACAATCAGGTTTGGCAGACAGATAGTCATATTGTTTCTGTTTGAGATAACTAGTTTTGACTAAATCGCCAAGAATATTGTTAATCATGTTAGCAGTTTCTTTGCTGTTTCTGGAGACCAATGAAGATTATCAACTGGTTCGAATTCTTCTTCGTAGGGTGGTAAGATTGTTGCGCTGTTGATACTGGACTCCATCATCATGTTGTTGAGAGTGCTGAGGTTCTGTCGTGCTTTCTTCGAGATTTTATTTGAAATGGTATACATGTGAAGAGGATCTTGGAGTTTGGGAAGGTTTTGTTGGTTGTGGCGATTAATTTCTGGGCTTGGTTTAAGGAGGTCTTTGGTAGCTGATCACGGTTGTTGAGGCCTACATGAAGAATAATGGTAGTAGGTTTGGGATCATGGTCGTATGATTCCAGGATTGACTGTATGTGATGGACTTGGGCACCGGGTTAAGAATGTATTTCGTCGACGGTGTGATTGGTACTGGTTCGGCAGTTGTTAGAATTGTAGCATTGGGAACGGACTGGGATCTGGTTCGAGGGGGGGGGGGAGGTTTGGATACACGCCTCAACTTGGATATAGACTGAGGGGTGGTTTGCTGGTCCAAAAACGCACAGAAGGAAGAAAGGTTGGCGGATCCAGGATCACGTGGTGAAGATTCAGATGGTGTGGAAGGGGAAGACGAGTCTGACAGTGGAAAGAGAAGGGGAGTGCCCTCTCTACGAGAGCCTATACCTATGTCTGCTGGACAAGGAGTAGATGAACTTCGGGCTCGTTTAGGGGTTTGGTTCGGCAGCGTGGTGGCTCTAGATGGTGCAGGTGTAGTGTCCATTTCAGTTGGTAGAGATATGGTTACTCTGGTTTTTGTTTCGTTGATTGTTTGGTAGAATTTGGTGATTACAGCTTGAGTGAGACGTTTCCCATAGGAGCGACGGGCCCAGGACAGGGCATGAGAAACGATGCGGTCGACGGCAGGTGATGACAAAGACTTGGTACGAATGGTGGTCAGCTTCTCTTGAAATGTGGTTTGGTAATGGTCGATCAGGACCTGCGTAACCTTAGAGAGTCATGTCCGATTGAGGGCTCTAATATTCGCGTCGACAGCTGATGTTTTCATTGCTGGACGGATAAAACTATCCAACTCAGAGACTTTGCGTTTGAAGGTAAACGCTGGTTGGCCTTGCTGTTCAAGGGTAAGGATTGCCAAATGATGGAGGGTTCTTCCTCCTTATGAGTGGGGACTGGTTGGCGTCGGTGGGCTGGTAGTCGTTTCTGTTGTTGGTCAGGTCGATGGTTACCTTTTGATTGGTAGGCTGTGTTGTAGGTAGGTCGGCGATGGGGTGGGATATAGCTGGATGGGTTGGTTGGTGGTCGGCGATTGAAGACAGGGCCGTTGTAGGGTACGTGATATTGGTTTGGTTGACGATTAGTGTTTCTATGTCTGGCTTCTTGCCAGTGGTTATTGTAGTTGGGGAGCATAACTGAAATAACTTGAGGTTAGAAAAGGAATGTACAGCGGATGTAACAGGAGGAAACTGTATATGCTAGCGTGAAAATGTGGGGATCAAATTATGCAAATAAGTCAAACTGGGTTTGGGGATATATAAAGTAAGATGAAAGTTATGATGGAAAATGCAAAAATATATATTTAGGTGATAAATAACGCTAACAATGATGTGAAAAATTATAACAAGTAAAACAAAAACTTACGCAATTGACACGAACCGGTTTTCGAAATATTATCCTTTTTCAAGTGCCGAGGAATGGTTATGTAATGAGATTGAATTTGCGATTTATATAGTAGTCAGTTAATACAGGTTTTTGATTTTCTAAAAAGTATTGAGTGAATCATGTCATATCTTTAATCAGTTGAGGATTAGGATTATTTTTGATTCCTTAATTAGTTGAGTACTTCAGTATAATAATGTTGTTGAGAATAATAGGTGGGGTAATTACGTAAATTGGAAATTATATCCTTTATTCGGTCTGTTGGAACATAGAAAAGTTTCCATAGGCTTACCATATAAAATTCATCTACAAAGAGAAATCAACGATAAGATATTCTTTGGAGAGAATGGTTCAGATGCAAAATTAGAAATAACGAATCTCCAACTTTTCATACCCGTAATAACACCATCAATTGAAGTAGAAACGAGAATATTCAACTCATTAACTAAAGATATTGAAATAGCTTTACTTCATCGTAATACGGTAAGTTTTGAACAGGTTTGTCCTCAATGTTAATAACTTTAATGTCTAAATCGTCAGTGGCACCAACCTAAATTCCATAACTGGACCTCTTAAGGATGTAAATCTTCTAAGAGCGTTAATAAAAGACGATGAACTAAGCTCTTCCACCACTTCGATATGAATCCCACGGACACTAAGCACGAAAACGTGAATGGTGGACTGGGATTTAAACGGTCTTCGGTATTCTGATATTCTGTGTTCCTTCTTAACTTGCGACACTTCACACAGTTGTGTAGTATAGACGAAATGAGACGCTTGCCTCCGGTAATCCAATATCCAGCATTTCGAACAGCACCCTCTGTTATATGTCGTCCCTGATGATGTGTCTTTTCGTGGTAGTACCGGACTAACAAGGTCGAAATGTAATGTTTACTGGTAACAATAATAGGATTTCTTGAATTATATGGAAGGCTAGAATGATTTAACCTACCACCTACTCTGAGCAAACCATCAGTGTCCAATATTGGCGAAACAGAGAGTAAAGAACTGTCTTTAGGTAATGGGGTGTTGTTCTTAAGACATTTTATCTCACTAGGGTAAAATTCGAATTGAACTTCCTTAAATATAAGTTTCTCAGAGTCCTCAATAAAGTCAACAATCGAACGATCACAAACTGCTCCTACTGGTTTCTATGCTGATTGTTTGAGAAAACTTATAGCATTAACCAATCTTGGCCAAGAAGAAAATCTTTCGAATCGACTGGTTCCAAGTCTAACATGTATTGGGGTTTTACATGATAAAACATCTGGTCTCAAATCACTGTCCTGTTCAGGTTCTATTAAATCATATTGCAAAGTTTCACATTCGTTGATTGGTAATAAACTTGGTCCTTTAAGCCACAAACTATCTTGAATATTTTCTGAACGTAAAGGTCTTGTCGCTTGATCGGCTGGGTTTAAATTGGTTGGTACATAAAACCATTGGTTCGGAGAAGTAGAACGTCTGATTCTATCCACACGATTGTTTACATACACATAAAAACGTTCAATTATAAAATCTGGGTATTTTATCTTCATGGACACAAACGACATCTCCAATGGAAACACTAGGACCCTTTTTATATCGCGGACGATGATGTTCTCGTAAATCTGTAAGATATTCTTGATACCAACGTTTCCAAAAGTGAGATAATACAGTATTCAAATATTTCTTGCATTTAGTCATTTCACTGTCTGTATTAGATTTGGGAACGTTATCTTCAATAAACATATTTGGCTCGGATAATAAGCGTCTTCCCACTACTAAATGAGATGGTGTTAATGGCTCTCCACACTCTTCACCTAGGTTAGAATTCCTTCCACTTCGATTAACAATGTAAACAGTTCTTTAAATGTAACTCTAGCAGTACCTAAAGTTTTCTTAAGGTTTCACTGATCTCACCATTCTTTCAAAGAATCCTCCCCACCAAGGAGATAATTCTACGTTATATTTCCAAGATATATCTTTCAACGACACAAATGAGTTTAGTTCAGCGCTTTTAAAGGTTTTTCCATTATCCGAAATTACAAAAGACGGAACACCTCTGCGACCAATAAAAAGTTTCAAGGATCTAACAAATGTTGCAGAGCTTCTTCTATAAACTGATCATAAACAGAAAGTTCATCCTTTCGAATTCCTATTGTTTCTAAATCCCAAAACTTCTTCAAATCATCTGTTACGTTTAAATTATCTTCGGCTATTGAACAGTCAATTTGTAGAACGTGTGTAGAAGTAAAGTTAACTGAGCATGCAGGTAAATTATCACAGGTAAGTACAACTGGACCGGATAAAATCCATCCGAGCCTTGATTGAAGAATGGTAACACCATTTAAAAAGTTCCAATAGTAATCAGCGCCGATCAATACATCAACTTCAAAGTCATCAGAATGGGTAGGTATGTCGGCTAATTCATGACCTTGTAGGTGCGGATATTTTTGAAGGGCTATATCAAGAACTTGGTTGCTGATTGCACTGCAAATCGTGGGTATAGTAGGCATTTATTTACATATAGTACCATACCATCTCTTATCACCGAAGGTTTTAATAAGGAGATTATCAGAACCAATTACTGATAAACGATGTTTATCTCGCAGCCTATATGAGACATATGTTCGCTGACTGCAACTGTCAAAGATTATTCTAGAAACGGCTTTATTATGTTCTCTATCTGGCCTTCCCACTGGTGCCAAGGCGGTTTGCAGACGTACTGATGTTGAACTGGTAACACACATCGCATGAGCAGGTCTACTGTTATTAGGTGAATTGGGTTTATTACCATTAAGCCGGTTAGATGTGTCATGGGCTGATTTGTCGCATAATGACGTGTGTTGTTTTTCGTGACATTTAAAACACCGAATGTAAACAAAGAAAACATTTCCCCTTCTTTCGAAGAATACTTGGTCTGTTTATGGTATTGGTAACTACGTCACAGTTTGATGAAGAATGCTGTTGTCCACAGAAACTACAATAAGGACCTTGGTTGTCGGCATTGCCTTTGATGTAAATGTTTTTATCAAGACGCATCGTTCTCTGGCCTCAACTTCAGTTTTCAAAACTTCTAATATTTGGTTTACATCCCATTTATCTTTCTCACAAGTTCGTCTAATTAACAATTTAATTTCGTCTGGAATTTTCGATAAAATAACTGGTATCAATAGATTTCCTTAAGATTCTGATGCAACGCCTAAATTTTCTAAACTTCTCATACGCGATTCAATATTATCAAATAATGTTCGGATTTTAGAAACTTCTTCAATATTGGTGACGTTCGGCAAATCTAATAATGCTGTCATGTGGCGAGAAATTATAACTTGAGGGTTCGAAAATCTGTCCTTAAGGAGATCCACAGAGGCGTCGTAATTTTCTGTTGTAAGGGAAAACCCAGATATAACAGCTAAGGCAGCATCTTCCAATAAGCTTCTCAGATAATTAAATTTGTCAATTTTTGAAATGTCATCATTTGCATGAATAGCAGCATTAAAACTGTCCCAAAATGTCTGCCAGTCAACAGGTTCTCCAGTAAATTTATTTAATGTTAATTTCGGCAATTTAGTTTTAACTGACTTTGTAACTGTTTTGTTTAGGCCTACATCCATATCTGAATTACGACGAGTATTGTCAATTTTAGCCACTTTTAAAGTTCCTCAATTTCCATAGAATATGTGTTACATAATCACAAAACTCACTTTGATCGAAAACTTCGTGTTCGATTTCGTCATCACCAACCTTTTCGAGAAATTCGCCGTCAATTTTCTTCAAAGTTTCTTTTTTCTCAAACAAGGTCATCTTTGAAGCATTTAATAGTTCAGTATCCTCTTCAGATATATCACGGCCTTTCAGTTCCTGGATCGAATCAAATATTCTATTAACAGTTCGTTTGACGTAAGCCCGATGGCCTCCGCGAATCCTTTTCAGTTTTTCACTCATTTTTATGGTTCAGGGTTACACTAAATTCAGTTCAGGAAAATCAAATCCGTCTCGGTAGGACCATGTTGCGAATTTAGTTCAGATGAAATAAAAACAAACACAATTTCAGATACAGGTTTACTCATAAATTTCAAAGTTCAAAATTTCACAATGACTGACATCAACATACAGTTTCTACAATCGAGAGGAGGGTGTTGCTTAGTGACAGTGATATGACGCTTTGACTGTCAGTTCGTCCAAATTTCGTGCATATTTCATGTCATTTCGCAACAGGATCAAATATGCTATTCACGGTTGATAACATACCTCTACGAGTAAACGGTTTTGACTGACGACTTACACTGTAGGTAAATGTATCTGATTTAATATTCCAAATAAGTCTTAAACTTCTCTGTAGGTTTGGAGAGTTGGATTCGAAATCAATTTCGGTTAAATCTTTGGCTAAATCAGTATTTGGAAATCTTGAAATCACATTCGTATTGTTTGAACAAAGTTTATGAAGACGAAGATTTCCACCTTTCTGTAATGTTTTTTGAGTGGTTTTCACCAACTGTACTGCCGATTCTTCATCTGGTACTGAGACTAGCCCATCGTCGACGTAAAAGTCGTTATACACAAAATTACACGTGCCATCGCAAGTTTCATGATTTTCGCGACTACATGCGGATTTCCTTGAACCAAATGTGGCTACTGCGGGGGATGGGGAATTTCCAAAACACGTGTACCTTCATTCTGTATTCGATGAGTTCGTTGTTTGGGTCATTATCCTTGTTCCAAAGAAACCGCAAATAATTACGGCGAGCCTTAAGTGCATAAAAGTTAAAGAACATCTGCTCTTTGTCAGCAGTAACTGAAACTCGTTCTTTCCTAAATCTTAGCAAAACACCTATTAAGTTATGTTCTGAATATATCTGTAGTTGTAAATATTTCTTGTATGATCAGATTATGTCGGACTATTGCTTAGCATGGAGAATTTAATCGTGTTCTGAAGCGGAAATCATTGCTTAGCCAATCAGAAATAGCACGTGCATTACGTCATTTATTAGTCGATCAGCCATCTTTACATATTGTCATTTTCATTCATAGTCATCATTCATCGTTCATATTTAAGTCGTAGTGACCTAACACCATTTCCAGGTATTATATTCATGAATTAAGCATTTGTACGCATCTATAATGTATCGGTTTATACATAATATCATTTTCAGTAAGAATGAACTAGAAATTAGCTTCCCGGTCCCGGTCAAGTGCAATAGTCCTGTCCAATATTTTAAGTCTCATATTTATGTCTATGTCCATGTCATATTATTGCTCATTTATTATTAAGGTCTATATTGTGTCAATTTACTATATTTTTAGTCATTATGCTCATATTTTATGTCATATTAGTAGTATAGACTGTCTCCTTTTAGCATCGTCTGCTATTGCTGTAGGTCATACAAGCTACTGTGCTATTTTAGTGTCATGTTAGTCTGTCAGTGTCTTATTTGTCATATATGTCATTTCAGAATATAGAAGTCTGTATACTGTTCACAAAGAAACTATGTTCGCCAACAACTAGGCCTAGTCAATAAAATAAAGTCATAAAGTCATCATTAGTCGTCAAGTCATAAAGTCATCATTAGTCGTCAAGTCATTTTTCCTTCGTGAACTGTATATGAACAGATATGTCGATAAACTGTTTCATATTACGGAATACCAGTCTGCCACATTATCCTGCCACATAATTGATATCGCTAGGAATCAACAACAAGTTATTCGTTAAATCTGGGCCTGTCAATAAAACATTAAGTGAAATTCCGTGAAACTTGGCAGACGAATCGAAAACTACACGGATTTTATCGGGCTTTTTAGGGTGAATACCAACATTGTTCACCTGGGGTCAAAGGTGGGGCTATTTCAGCATGTCCGTTTTTAAATATCTTGTCTATGAAATCACTGAAATGCCCCAGTTTCTTCGGATTTTTCTTGAGACTTGATTCAAAATTCTTGGCTCTGTGATACGCTTGTTCAAAATTGTTCGGAAATTTTGACCGATTTTTTCTGAATGGTAATGGGGCGCTCCAGTTACCACTTTCCATCTGGATAAATCCTGATTCCATAATTTTGATAAATTCTTTATCATCAACTGATTGATCAACTTTATCATCATCAACAGTTGGTAGAAAAACATTGCTACTAAAATTAGAGTTAAAGTTTGTGTTAACGATGCGATCGACGTTTTCATTTATATGTAAATTGTTCGTACATGGTTCATATATAGATGTCCTTCCATTCGGTAAAACAAACGTTTTGTTTACGTTAACTGTCTCGGGAGCATGAATCTTTCCCAAACAGGCTTCTCCAATAATCACCCATCCCAGGGAAAGTTTCTGAGCATAAGGTGTATGCCGTGGTCCAATTCTTTGATCATAAACATGATGTGCCTCTAATAGATCTCTACCGATAAGTAATCGGATTTCTGCGTTGTCATCTAATGAGGGAATTAAACAACTGAGATCTCAAAGATGTGCAAATTGTGCAGCTACCGAAGTTGTAGGAATCTCTGCTTTTACATTGGGTATCTGGTTACATTCAATAAGGGTAGGTAACTCTAGCTTAGAAATACCATCTATTCCTTCAATCGTAAATCCTTCAGCACTGCGTCCGGATGCAACTTCATTCCCTGAGCATGAAGACAATGCATATTCCAGTTCTGGTCCTTTAATATTGAAGAGGTCAAAGAATTTAGACTTTGCTAGTGATCGATTGCTCTGATCATCGATGATGGCATACACTTTATGATTAATTTCACGATGATTAGTAGGATATACTTGTACTAATACTGTTTTAGCACATGACTTGCCACTGAAGCCTTCTCCACAATTTTGGGTACATGCTGATTCTGGTTTCTGTTCCGCGCCATGTCTTTGTGTAGATGAACTGTTTATTTCAACATGCAGTGCACCCGAATGACCCTTAGATTTACAAATCTCACAATGTCTAGTTTTACTACAGTTCTGGGCTAAATGTTTACCATTACAACAGCGAAAGCAAATAAAATGCCGCATAATGATTTCTTTCCTTTCAGATATATGTTTAGTCCGAAATAGTCTACACTGGTTTGGACTGTGACCAGCTTCTTCATGAATGGGACATTTGAGAAAATCATCTTTGGTTGACTGGTCATACTGTTTCTTAGGAGTTTCCGGTACAACATCGGTTTTCTTTATTGAAACTAGGGTTCGATGCTGGTTTCCTGATCTGGAATTGTGGGAATAGGATGTCTGATTCGAATTCAATGGTTTTCCTGAAAAATGTCCTGTAGACTTTTGATGAGTTGAATTGTTCTCATAATAAAACTGGGATCATGTAATTTAGGACTCATTTCACGAATAAATTTGACAAAATCTTTGAAGGGTGGGAACATAATTTTCCGGTCTGTTTTAATTATGTAAGCTCTATCAGTCCATTTAGTTTGTAAGAAAGTAAACTAACTATGGGATTAACACCACTGGATGAGTCATAGTAATCCAATAAAGAGCTGTATTTTGGTTGTTCCTTAACAGATTCTATTTCAGATAAGGGGTCACTAAGTTCATAGAGTTTAGTTAAATCATAAGAGGAAATCTTAGAAAAGTTTTTAATTTTCTTCTTTAGAGTGGATTCTATTTGTTCTGGTGAACCATACCGTTCATCAAGCCTTTCCCATTTCAGATTGGGGCCTTTTTTAGGGTCTAGGGCATTTTCTGCTTGAATACGTTATGCCTGCTTACCGGACTCACTTCCTAACCAACGGACAAGAAGATCGATTTCTTCTGGGGGAGTAACATCTAGACCAAGCATAATATTGGCGAAGCTTGACTTCCATAATAAATAGTTTTCTGGTTCATCGGTGAAAGATGTTAGACGAGAAAGGAGTAATTCTTTTTTTAGAAATAACTTTGTAAATTCTGAGGCTATATTAATGCCTGTACCAATACTCTGACCTAATTCTAAATTTGATGATTCTGGTATCCTTGTACCAGCTCTAGTTATGGAATTGTTGTTTAATTGATTACTAACTGATTGCTGATTCCATGTCTGGAGAAACCGAGGTTTGCTTAAGGGGTTGAACAGGTTGGAGCTTAAAAGTTGGAGATTGTGTAAATGAATCATTTTCATCTGATGTTTGTTGAGGTGCCTCAGCATCTACACTGAGACCAGTGATTAAGAACAAATTGTCCAGTTCTAATGAGTTTCTCTGATTGTACATCTGATAAAGGTCTTGAGCAGTCTGAACTGATACTGTCGCATACTATTTGAAACTCAGTTTGGGCCTCATCTGCTGCTCTTTTCACTGAAAGAAGATTCATGTCCATTTCTAATTCTTTCTTTCTTCTTGTATGTCTCATAGCTGCAAGAGACTCTTCTTCTTCAATTCTTACTTTCTCTTGCTGTAATTTAGCTTCTGATTTGGATTTGACAGGTTTTTCGAAATTTACGGAGTTCTGTTTTAAATCAGTATATTTTCATCTATTTCACCAAGTATTCAATAGCAGCTATTTGGAGTCTTTGAGCTGATACATCATTTTCACTTTCTTTACACCTTTTTTCTATCCAAAAAGTCATTAAAACGTGCAGAGAATTCTTAATAGTCATTGAAATATTTAATCAGAGCATTTTTGATAACCTGCAAATTGTTGAAATTGATTGGTTGAATTTCTTTTTCCAACATAAAATTGTTAATTTAAGTGTCAATTCTTCCAGTTATTGTGCTAAGTTTAGCACTGAATTCTAACACAAAAGCTTCATATTGATCTTTTCTAACTCCTGTCAGTGTTCTTGAAACGTCTTAATTCTGTCCTATGATCCATTATCTTTTACTTTAACTGTAATGTTAGTAGCTTGAATAACAAGAAAACTGCTTTATTCTTCATTATAAATTGTGCCTCATTCACTCTCGGAAGAGGTAAAAGACTGAAATAATATAAGAATACAAATTCTTACCATGTATTCAATAAAATATTCAATATAATTTAAAACCACATGTTAGGCCTACCTTAAGAGAGAAAACGAAAGTAGAAAAATGCAAGAAATATATTTGAACTCACGCCTAAATTCTAGTATACAAAGCATCACTGACAATGAAAGAAACTAATACAGATATGAAATACATAAAAATATAAGCACTCACTGTATGGGGAGATCAAATTGCCTTGAAATTTTGAAGATGAAAAAAATGTGAACATTTCCTATTTTCTGGGTTCTAGCCTTATTAATTTTTATAATGAAGAGTTCACCTTAATGGACGTAACTACTTAAAATAGACTGCAATGACAGTACACTTCAAATCCATATGTGTTCAGAATTATCCGCATTTAAATGTTAAAATGGCAACCTGTCATCTTAAGGTACTCTGTGATATATAGAAAAGACATATATAGAAATAGGGAGTAAACTTCCTAGATTGAGGTATTTTTAAAGGAGTTATGTGATTTTCTTACATGTTCAACACTCAAATCAACTGTAAACTGAATAATCACCTACAGTTTTCAATTATGAAAGCAGTCTCAATGCTTTCAGGTGCAAGATTTTGCTGTAAATGTCTATCCATGTGGAATTGTTGCCAGCTCCTTTTCACCATGGCTTGCTGCTAGTCCAGACAGGGTTGATCCTTGGTTGATAACAAACACTCACACCAAGTAAAGTTTAAATCCATCAAGAATTGTGCCTTGTAGAGTGTTTGCAGGCTGAAAATTGAACGAAGGGCAATAACTCATACAAACAAAGTAAAGATTCTCGACCAAACTAATAAAGCACAAAAAAATTTGACAGCTAAGATCTTAAGCCAACCAACTCTTTCGTCCCCTCTCTGTCAGGTGTAAATATGTTTAACTTTGAGTGTCAGTGTTTGTATGATTCTGAGAGAATTGTATAAAATTCTTTATGAGACCCAACACCTAACTAGCTTAAGCTGCTTACTTAATTAGTAGACTCTGTTCTTACTTAACCCTTTATTAACAAATTCAGTTCGATCAAGTAGATAAATAGATGTAAATAGCATATTTTAGAAATATTTTAAGGCTTTATCACTAAAGACACCTCAAAGGTGACATCACGTTTTTGGCTGTTTAGGAATCAGGATAGTTGAGTAATGCAGATTTTTGCACAATCATAGCAGATTCAAAATATAATTACCATTACTATCAGTCCACTTTATTTGTGAAATAGAATAAATTGTAATTGAAACAAGATGAGGCAAACCTACTTCTGTTCAATACTATTTACACTATCTAGAAGTGAACTGTATAGAAAAAAAAATGGTGCAAGCACTTCATATCAGTTAGTAACATCTGCCACCGACAGTTCACAAAAGCTCTTGTTGATCCTAATATGTGGATATACAAAAATGTATGAATTAGCAAAAATCAATTCATCATCAATTAGTATTATTATAGACATTCCTTTAACAAGCATGATCACAAACAATTACAGTAATAGGTTCTAGCTACACAATAAAACATTATAACAATCAACAAACATTAAAACTACAAGACCAATTATACAATAATTAATATTATAACGTAGCAGTTGACAAAAACATAGCATATCTTATTACATCAAGTTTTTTTCATCTCAATCCTACAGAACAAATATTATTATCAATAGTTTTTACTGATGAATCCAATTTATTGACAGTGACAATGAAACAAAAAATATAACATAAAAATTGATCGGTCAATTTCAATAACTATCTACTGTCGGACAAAGTTTTAATTGGCAAAATTGGACATTATGACATATGACATTTTGACATCATTAAAGTGAGGTGTTATGATATGATTTGACTCAATATACAGATTGTGGGAGCTGCCAAATTTCAGGTCATTAGAAAATAGCATAGGATAATAGAAGTTTGATCAGATTATAAGAAAAATGTGGACGAATCATACTATTGGCCAAAACACCACTGGACGGAATAGGTAATGACAATTTGGCAAATTACAACTTTAAAGATAGCTTGCCAGGTAAGGTATATTACGCACATTGACAGCTTTGATTCTGAATAAAAATATTTAGCAGTACAGTAACAATTAACAGTGTGAAATATTCAACCTTCAGACATATTCTTCTTTTGAACTTTTTGAGGCGATACTGAATAATATTATCAAGTTTCATCAAAATCTGTCAAGAATTGGGCCTTGGAACGTATATTTAAGAACAGGGGCAATAACTCATACTAAATATTTTTAAATTCTTCTCATTTTCAATAGGGTTCATCCTTGGGTGATTACGAACACTCATGCCAAGTTTAGTTTTAATCCATCAAGAATTGTGCCTTGTAGAGTGTTTGAATTTTCAAGAAGAAGGGCAATAACTCATATTTTTCTGATTTCCAATAGGGTTTATTCTTGGGTGAATACAAATACTCACACCAAGTTTCATCTAATTCTGTCAATAATTGAATCTCCTAGAGTGTTTACAAGCTAAAAATTGAACGCTTTTTTAAGAACAAGACCAACAATTCACACAAAATATTTTTCAAGTTTTCTGAATTTAACTAGGGTTCATAATTGGGTGATTACAAAAATTCACAAAGTTTCGTCAAAATCCGTTAAGAAATGCGCCTTCTAGAGTGTTTCTAAACATGTCCAAGATGTTACAAATCCCACCAAGTTTCATTAAAATTGATACAAACTGTGCTCACGAACAAATTTTTGATGTGTCAAGGGCAGTAAATCAAAACCTTTTCCTCAAAAATCTAAGATTTTAGTAATTCAAATGATCACATCAAAGTTTCATAAAAATTCATTTAAAATTGTAGTATCAACTGTCTTCACAAACAAATTTTGATGCATTTAAATCAAAGGCAATAACTCTTTCGGATCTTATCAATTTCAATGATCACTTTCATGTTTCAAAATTGATTGAAAATTGTTGAGTTCACACACAAAGTTTGACGCGTTTCAACTAAGTCAAAGGCAATTACTCCAAAAAATGTTCTTTAAATTGATTCCAATAATTTCATCAAAAATTTCAAAAATATGTTCTTCAAAAATATGTTCTTTAAATTTGTTCAAGATCTTATATTTTTCCAATCATTACAACAAGTTAGAGCTTCAATCCTGCTTTAAAATAAATTTTGACGTGTTTATTATACTAAGTAATTTAAGGACAATAATTCAAAACAGTTCATCGAAATATAGCCAAATTCAAACTTTACAGATCTTATCAACATAAATGGTTACATCAAATTTAATTAAAATCAGATAAAAACTGTACTCTTTTATGTGGTCACAAGAAATATTGACTGAGCACAGCAATCTAATATAAGTTGGATTATAATTTTGTATCTTTTCTGTTTTCTTATATTATAATTCTACATTGTCCACCTTCAGTAGGGAGCAGGCTGAAAATAGATCAGTTGTCTTAAGATCGTTTTGCATGAAACTTGAGTAACAACATTTAAGTTCGGTTTTAATATTTCTGCATTGTAAACTAAAATAATGATAGTGTCCCAGTGATGTTATTTTTAACCAATCAATGTGTGTCATGTAAAAATTCTACTTTAGGTTTCAATATCCCACAAATCCTTATTTTATCAAGAAACATGTTTCCCATGACACTGATTGATTGCCTAAAAATACTATCTTTGAGACCACTCTGTGGTAGAAAACTTATTAGTTTACAATGGAGACTTAAAATATCGGAAGTAAAAAAAATACGAAATTGTAATCTAATTTAAATAAGATTGGACGCACAGGGGAAACAACAATATACATCCGCCTTTCAAATTGGGCGTATAGAAATGAAATGAATCCCCTTGGTCAGAGAAGTGCGACAACAAAGACATGCCTATATAATAATTTAGACCTATGAAAGGTACCAATAGAAAATACATTTTCTACTTTCACTTCTCCCCAATTACTTTAGATTTAATTCTACTGGCTATCGCACGTCTCATGGCCAATTTCTTTTCATCATCAGGATTAACACTCTTTTTCTCTGGAACATGGGAAAGCCTCATTGCTTCTTTAGCTACACGAGCAGATGATGGCCTCTTAGGATATGATTTCTCTGCTGTTTGTAGAGTTTTACTTCGTTCCTTTCTTTTCATTTCCACCAGTTTATCTCTTTGTTCTTTTAAAAATTCAAAACGTTTTTTCATTTCTTCTTCACTAAGATTTTGCATTGTAGCCTAAAATATATAATATGTAGGAAATTAACTAATAAAAATATAAAATCATATATTAGTTTTGTCTTTTAACTATGGATAAAACAAAAATTTGGTTGATATTACTACAGAATAGAATAACTTTCAGACAGGATTAATTTAATCAAGTGGATTGTTAATAGTTTGTTAAAAGAATCTTAATTTGTAGCAAAGTTACATTTCAGTCATTTATATCACTTTTTAGAATGAATATCTGATGTTGTGTGCGTTAACTTTTAAATACAATGGCTTTTTAGAAATATGCACTGTTGCTGTACCAACTGATAAGAGTTAAATTTGGTCAATGATACAGAACATACATTTTTCATAAATAATTAGGATGCCTAGTTCTTTTATTGGGTGGATCAGAGAAACTATAACAGTTTTTATTTCAGGATAATTCATAGAGTATCAAAGCTATGATATTTTAACCTTATAATTATAGATATTCTAGACATCTTTTTATCAAATTACAGCTTTAAAGGCCGAACCACCTTGAAATACTAGATTTAAAATTCGTAGTCAGAAAAAATAATGGCACAAGTTATAGTTTTATTTCTCCTCTATAAAATGCCCTGTGTGATCATTTCTTTCATAGCAAGTTATTGCCTTTCCAGTTTAGTCTGGAGGTATTTCAATTTTCATTTCATTTGTCTCTAATTTTATCCTTCAATTCCTCTATCTTCCAATGCAAATTTTTTTCAGCTAAAGAAAACACACTGTAAACATTACAATTTTTTCTTAAACAAGGTAATATACGCCCATCAGCAGCTATGATTTTAAATAAAAATATTTAGCAGTACAGTAACAATTACCAGTATGAAATATTTCAACCTTCAGTCATACACTTCTTTTGAATTTTTTTGGGGTGATACTGAATAATATTACCAATTTTTGGCAAAATGTGGCAAGAATCATATCTTTAAGTGTTTACAGGCTAAAAATTGAAAACTCATTTTCCGTTTTTTCTGATTTTCAATAGAGTTCATCCTTGGGTGATTACGAACACTCACACCAAGTCTTGTGTAAATAAGTCAAGAAGTTTGCCTTCTAGAGTGTTTACGAGTTTAAAATTGTGAGCTTTTTTAAGAACAAGGGCAATAACTCATAATAACCCATTCCGTCCGTTCGACGCCTTTAAGCCTCATTGAAATATCGTCATAACTTGTGGAAGACGCCTTTAAGCGTCCATTCATTCACTATTCAAACTGTCCATTCATTCACTAGTCAAACTGTCCATTCATTCACTAGTCAAACTGTCCATTCATTCACTAGTCAAACTGACTCGGAACAGGCTACCAAATATAACTGTAAACACAAATCTTATTTATAGAAATGACGTATAAGGAATTCCCTTTGGTTTACCCATTGGTTGATCTAGATCAAGCTAATTATAATTTATGACAGGTTGAAGGTCACGTCTGCTACTTGTCGGGAATGGCGACCTCCTTGCGCCATTGTGATCATAAAAGATTTTCGTATTATCACGATCTTATATATAATTGGATTGACGGTAATAGTTCGATAGAAGACAATGATTCTAATTCTGAATTCAACGGAGGCAGTGGTTCCGATTTGTCTGAAAACAAATAGTAGAATGACATTCCAATTTATGACAGCTCTGATTCCGAGTTAGAGTGAAGAGATTTAATCCCAATCGATGTTGATCAGCAACCAGTTGCAGATCCAATTACACGTAATGTAAACAAGAAAAAAAAAACTAGAAAAATTTATTATGAATGGGTAGATGTCACTGCAAAAGATCATGGACCGAGAGGCATTAGATTTCGTCTTAAATGTCCTGAATTTTATGGATGATGCAGAATTTTTAAAAATTATTTATGAGTGAAAAGATTGTTGAAAATTTAGTTATTGAAATAAACAAATATGCAGGTGAAAATGTGGATCGAACCTCGTTCGAAATTATGAGAGTGGAAGGACACTAATCGTGAAGAAGTTTATGTTGGGATCATTATGAACATGGGTATTATTTGTCTGCCATCTCTTAGTGGTCAATCGATAAAGATTTACTAAAAAAGAAAAAAATAGGCTCAGCGTAGAACTCAACAAATTTGGATTTGGCCACAATGGCACAAAGCTGTAGGGTAGGCGTAGCCTAGACTCTGGTATGTGTGATTTATTTAAAAAAAACCATTAAACTTTAGTCTTAAAATGCTATAAATAAAAGAAACCGACAATCGTCAACCCAACTAAAATAAATTCTCAAAGTTGTTGGAAACCGAAAATAATTATTAAGGGGAAACTAGGGTCGAAATTTTTTTTCTTAATTTGAAGGAATAGATCCTTGAAACTTAGCATAATCGAGAATAGTGAACATACTAAAACATAGGTATGGATTAATCTGATGTCAAAGGTCCGTTGCCATGGTAACCAAGTAAAAGCCGGATAATTAGTGAATTCAGGAAAAGACCTCTGTAACTAATGGATGCAGAGAAACCATATTTTTACAAGCAATTTAAGAGATAATTCTGCATGCAGTAACAGAGTTTTTTGTAAAATATTGAAAACTGTAATTTTTATGGCATTTTCCAAATGCATGTTAAAATTTACACCAAAAGTTCATAAAAATTGACATATTTCTCAATATTTTGTCTATTTTTCCATAAAAACTCCCTGTTACTGCATAGACAATATACCAATAGAGATAATTGCAAAGTTTCGTGCAAATCTAATAAATAGTTTAGGAGGTCTAAGCCATATTAGGGTTATTGATGGCAAAAAAAGTTATTCGATAAAAACAAGAGAAAGAAATATAGGCTTGTATTTTATGTGAAAAGGCACCTGACTGATAAAGTGTCCCTTCCTGTTTTAGCAGGATTTAGTTTTTCAATTTTTTTAACCATTCTAGCTTCTTTTGTATATTCCTGTGCTCGCTTTTGTGCCCCCTTTATATGCTTAGCATTAATTACATCACTGGCTTTCTTAGTGCATGGTGAAATGGGAATCCCCATGATTTCAAACAGAGTTTCTTGCATTTTTATGCACTTGTTGTATTCAATTGCAGCCATAGATGCACAGATATTAATTCTCTGTCTTGAGTAGAAATTTTCTTTTGGACATTTACTCCACACTTTAGCATGTAAGCTCTCATTTGGATTTTGAGTGTTGCCCCCCAAACACTGTCGCAATAACACCTCGCTTCCAAGCCTTTCCACCACCATCACTAATCAAAGTGGAATATCTAAACCCAGAGTCTAATGACCTTGACCATAAGACCTTGGCTGCCTCAACTTCCATAGCATTGGAAGAACCAGAAAAGTTGATATTACAGTGAGGCTTGTGTTTGGAGTACCAGTCATTATATTCCTCACCACTGCTATGCACATGCATGGCAAAATGTTGACACCACATGATAATTAAGAACAAGACCATTATTACTTCAATTGAAAAAGCCACAGCTTACATCAAAGTTAACTATGTCCACCTGTCAACCAAGATGCATCAAAACTGACTGCTAGATCCATAACTCCCTCGATGTTAATGTCAGGGTTTAATTCTTTTTGAACTTTGCAAACCTGCTTCGGAAAACTAACTGTTCAGAATTAATAGAAATGGCAGATACATGTGTACTGTATGTCGAAAAATGAATAGCAGTAGGTGGAATTGATTATGTGTCCACAGGATGTGCACTGTGTCACAAGATATACAACTAGTCCCAAATTTTTGTCTTTGCTTTGAACATCACTTGTGTGGCATTCTGGACATTAAAACCCTTTAACCCTCGTGGTACCGGGATAATTTTTCGAATATGTCATTGTCAGCCCGAGTTAATTATCACTAATTAGAGAAATTTCGTAATACATCTTTAAAGAAGCGTACCCATTTTGCCGTTGGAGATATCACTTCGGACCTGTTAAAACAATTGTAGCTGAATTATTTTTTATCTCAATTATAGGATTTTTTTTGCTAAATGAGACATATTTTTGGGGTAAAAAACTTCCTTTTCTTGTCATAGATTTTGATTAATTTCTTTATTGTATGAATTATTGTAATCCTTTTATCTGTATTTATAAAAAAAAAGACTCATCTAGTTTATGTATATTTTTGGTTAAAACTGGCATAATTTACTCAGAAATCAAGGAAATTGTGAATTATATGGTTAGTATTATTTTTAGTATTTTTGCATACAATAAAATTATAAGGCGTTTCAATCAATTTTAAACTCAAATTACATATGTGAATCATTTTTAGGGTAAAAACATGTTGTTTTTGTGCGAAAAACAAGGAAATTGTATGTATGTATGTATTAGTGATGTATCATTTTAAATAAATTTTATATCTGTATAACCCATTCACATAACAGAGTGCTTTGAAAAAAATGCAACTCATTAGTGAAAATTTGGGTGAAATTCCCTGTTTTTGATTAAAAAAAATGGAAAATTGTAACTATTAGTGAAGTATTATGTTAAAATCTCTCATCACTTTTTTCTCATTCACAAAATAGTGTGCATTGAAAAAATCCAACACAGATGTCAAAACACACAGTTTGGGTGAAAATTCCGGTTTTCTTTTTTTGGTGCTAGAAAGCAGAAAATTGTTAGCAAAGAGATGTATTGTTTTTGAAATCCGTCAGTAAGGTAGCAACGATATCAGTTTTTTGATATCATGATTAATCGCGATACCAAAAATGATATAATCACGATAAATTGCATTATCATGATACTAGAAATCACACATATGATATCGCGATATTGCAATTTATCACAATAATAGATGATTATCATGATATAACCTTAGCATATATGTTTAAAGCATCTGATGATTAGGGTAGTGAACCATTCATTAGACCCATTATGTTTTGACCAACACTGTATATTGTTAACTCTTCAACTCTGTTCTGTTTGTTTACTTTGCTCATGTCAGAAACCAATTACTGTAATTACCTTTATATATATGATGCAAATAATAAAAACTAAGATTCAACAAAATTTTAACTTTTTTTTAACAATTATCAACCATAAAGAACACATAAAGATCAGGTGAACTTGGTTCAGTAAATGAACCTCATGAAGCTGAGCAATTATAATTGAGATCATCCAGTTTCCGTTTACAACATAAAAACAAGCAAAATACTCATCTCACTCAAGTGTCATACTTATTGCAGTTTCAAATTTGTGCTGATAGAGAACATTTTGTTTACAGTTTGAGGACATAATCTGTTTCGTGATTTAATGCATATTTGCCCAGCACAACTAAACATACATGTGTACAGGTCAAGAAAAAAAATCTGGAGATTTGGTGAAAAGTTGGCACTGAACAATCTCTCAGATGGGCAGCTTGTAGCGGGAACACATAAAAAATCCTTAGCTGCTTTGGACAATATTGGAAAAACCCTATATATTGGGACCACCACTCCAAGGGATCATGGTCAGACTTAAGATTATCCAGAGCTAAGTAATTGTCAAGTCAGAGGGGGTCCACTTCTCTTTCCCTTCATTATGATGCTTAGCAAGTGATTCAGGCTTCCACTAGCACAGAGCTTCTTAGTCGGTGGTTCCTCTACATCATATACATTTTCTTCAAACCCTCTGGTGTTTTGAGGTCCTTCATGCATAGCGGACAACATGCGTTGTTTTTACTTGCATCGGTATCAGATTCATTTAGATTGTTTTAAACACCAAAATACTTCCATACTACAGATGTTG